TGTGCTGCAGGTACCTTGAAGACGAAGCTGGAGCAACGGCGTTGCAGGTAGGTACCCCTGGCCTCCGCCCAAGCTCTCTCTCTCTCTCTACCACTATCCTAGCTATGGCGCCCAGCGCCGAAGGCTACTAGCTAACGCTACCACTACTATAACGCAACGCTCCCTCCAGAGGGCTGCTCCCGAATCCTGAAGACTACAACTGCCGACTGCCTCCCTCCTGTAGGGCGGGCCAGTCCTTTATAGTGCTCGCCCGTGCAAGAGGCTGGTCGTGAGAATGCCCTATGCGCAGGAGGCTGCTCTTGCCAATGCCTCCCTGGCCTAGACCCTGCGGAAGCTTCCAGGCAAGAGCCTGGAAGTTTCCCTGTAGGGAAACAGGTTGGGGCCTGTAGGCCCTGTCAGAAGGAAGCTTCCACGCAAGAGCCTGGAAGTTTCCCTATAGGGAAATAGGCTGGGGCTTGTAGGCCCTGTCAGAAGGAAGCGTCCAGGCAAGAGCCTGGAAGTTTCCCTGTAGGGAAACAGGATGGAGCCTGTAGGTCCTTTCTCGGGCTGTCAGGCTGAACCGTCGGCGGGGCCTGTAAGCCTTGGATATCAGGCTTAAAGCCCGAAATTCAGGTTTTTGGCCTGAACGACKTCGGGCCTGCAAAATGGCCCGTATGTGCATGTGCAGCATGTAACACCCCCCCCTCCTTATGAAGTCAAGCCGGGGCGAGGGCGAAGCCGTCGATCTAAAGGTGGAACCTGGACGCGGGCGCGGCGGGGAGCCGAGGAAACCGGCTTGCCTTGCATCTTGCGCTCATAACGTGCGAGAACGTCTGGAGCTGTCGCTTGAAGTTCCGCACGGGTTAACCAACAGTCAGCTCGGTGGGTGCAGTATGCAAAATGCACCAAATACTCAGTTGGCTTGTTGCCAAAGCGTCGCTGGGAGATGATGTCGCCGACCTCCTGAAAACCATCCATGGAAGGAGGGTCCTGTGTACGTCTCCCGGGAAAATCGTCATGCTCCGCAGGCATGTAGAGAGCCAATTTGGAGCAATGAAAGACTGGGTAGACGGGCAAGTGGCTAGGCACCTGAATCGTGAAGGAAGGTCCTTCGGGTGCGTCCCCAGCGGGCTCTATGATCGGCCAAGGTCCCATCCATTTCGGAAGGAGCTTGCGAGAGATGTCTTGTTCAAGGCTGAATTCCGCGGCGRAAACCCAGACGAGGTCCCCGACGCGGAATGGACAAGGGAGACGCTGGCGATTTGCCTGCTGTCTCATGCGCTGTTGTGTCTTAGCCATCTGGTCGCGTGCCTTGACAAGAAGCTCTTGCATCCGACGCAAGAAAAGAAGATGGTCGTCGCTCTCGGTCGTGCGCAACGGACCGGTAATGTCCATGACAATCGCTTCCCTTCGCCTCAACGGGACCGGCAATGGTCGTAGCTCGCCGTACGGAYGATGGTTGCGGGATTTGCAGCGTCGGCAAACCTCGCAAGACTCGCAATAGCGCGTGACGTCGCTGAGAAGGCCAGGCCACCAAAATCGCTGGCGAAGTCGGCCAATCGTGCGATTGACCTCGAAGTGTCCAGTGGCGGGAGCATCGTGGAACTC